GGCTGCCATTTCCTCAAAAGCTGAAAGCTGAAGCAACAGGAATTGCCCATGAAGTCAACAGGCTTAAGAAGCACATGCAGATGCATTTGAAATTAACGGCCACGGTACAAACCTAATACACTTTGGAAATGTACTTAAGAAACAGGCTCATCTGGCAACCTAGGTACATTAGCATGTATACCTTACAAATTCCAAACGCAGGCTTAGTGCTGCTAGGATCCTTATTTCCAGGTACAGGGCTACTTATCATTTAAGAACAAATACCAGGGACTGTCCTTTTTACTGTTGTCTCCATCATTAGGAGGGAGAGTGAGAGTTTTAAGCCAGGAGTGCATCAACTGCATTCTGAGAATACTTTACTTTTTTGTAAGGTGAAAACAAACAATTTCCTATTATATCTTCCTATTTCCTATTCTATCTTTCTCCTAAACTATCATCATGTATTATAGTAAAGATTCTGAGGAGTTCTGAAATAAAGAAAATTATTCAGTGACCGAAAAGAACTCAGAAGAAACAGCCTCTTGGTTTCAGCTCTAGTTTTCATTTTGATCTCCTATTAGTGGCTGCCTGGAAGGACCCTTAAAGCGTAACCAGATGAAATGTTATACTTAATGAGCAATCCTAGCTGGCAGATTTGTGGACCACTGCCGGGCCATTAAACAGTTTTTGGCAAATGCTGTCATAGGATAGAAGGCTTTAGCCAGCTCCATTTTTCATACCTCGCTTCTGGTACTTCAGAGCTAAGTACAGGAGGAAGGGAAAGGGGGGAAATGTTGTTAAAATGCAAGGAAAGTTAAGTCCCTATCAACTTGACTCTCTCACCACCCATTTTTTCCATCAAAATTCTGGACATTTAAATGAATGGGTCCAGCACGAGCGATGATTTGAACATCTATTCTGCAAGTGTGAGAATGTAAAGAGTGACAAATATCCTCTTCTTCCAGGCCACAGTTTATTTAAAAGATGGGTGACATCTCACAGGAATAAGGGACAAGTACATCAATGTCTCTGGAAGAGCCACCTTCTCTAATGGAAGACAGCCTTCAGGTGCCTTGGCCTGGCAGGGTTCCCTCGTGGGTCTTTTTAATAAGAAAAAAATTAACTACCCAAGGGAGCACAGCTACTTCAAGGATTTGAACTGAACTTACAGTCAATCTTTTCTTAACTGGGTCTTTACCTCTTGGGGTTCATGTCTATTTATGTTATAAGTATCATTCCTGGAAGAGCACATCTGATGTGTGCAAACAGAACATGTTAATGTAAAAGCTCGCTCACACAAAACAGTGCAGGCATGTAAAAGGCAGCAAGTCAGCAGGCTCAAGCAAGAAATCTACAAATCTACAAGAAAACCATCGTCTTTCCAGTTCCCTCTCCATCTCCCTGATAAATAGAGATGAATGTGCATAAGCCACCAGGAGGAGGGAAGCTTGCTTTTAATAAGAAAAGTTAAAAATATTTCAATGGAGCTCACCCAGTTTGTTCCTCTGATATGGTAAATCATATATTCCCACAGTTCCCAGCTGCATGAACAACTGACTGATAAAATCAGTGACATCCTACGAAGAGTTTACAATGGGAAACTGAGTCATTATGTTGAAATTAAACATCATGAAAGAAAACAAAAATACATCGTTAGGCATGCATTAAGTGTTAAACTTCTCATTCCTTCCCTGAATTGAAATATACTTAAAAGTAAAATCCATGCCCTAGCCAGTTTGGCTTAGTGGATAGAGCGTTGGCATGCAGACTGAAGGGTCCTGGGTTCAATTCCGGTCAAGGGCACATGCCCAGGTTGTGGGCTTGAGCCCAGTAGGGGGAATACAGGAGGGCAGCTAATCAATGATTTTCTGTCATCATCAATGTTTCTATCTCTCTCTCTCCCCCCCTCTCCCTTCTTCTCTGAAATCAATAAAAATAAAACAAATTTTTTATATATATATATTTTATTGATTTCTTACAGAGAGGAAGGGAGAGGGATAGAGAGCTAGAAACATCGATGAGCGAGAAACATCGATCAGCTGCCTCCTGCACATCCCCCACTGGGGATGTGTCTGCAACCCAGGCACATGCCCCCGACCGGAATCGAACCTGGGACCCTCCAGTCCACAGGCCGACGCTCTATCCACTGAGCCAAACCGGTTTCGGCAAAACAAATTTTTTTAAAAAGAAAACTCCAAGATGGTTTTAAAAAATATCCTAATTTGTGTATTGACTCTACATTGAAACAAGTAAACCTATCCTAATAAAAAGTATTCTAAAGGCTAAATTGTTACATCTTTAAAATGAACCCAGAAAGCACAGTGAGAAAAATGGTACATGATTCTCAAATCCTTTCAGTGGTTCTCAACCTTCTGGCCCTTTAAATACAGTCCCTCATGTTGTGACCCAACCATAAAATTATTTTCGTTGCTACTTCATAACTGTAATGTTGCTACTGTTATGAATCGTAATGTAAATATCTGATATGCTGGATGGTCTTAGGTGACCCCTGTGAAAGGGTCGTTCGACCGCCAAAGGGGTCGTGACCCACAGGTTGAGAACCGCTGCTTTACATGGAAACACACGGTTGACATTTCTGGCTGTTGTGACAAACTTACAAGCCACTGGGCACACAAAATGGGCAGATAAATCCTCTGGTATGGATTTCACCAACCATTTCCAAAACACCCCAAGATTTTCAAATTTCCCTGTTCTAAGTAGCAACCTGCTTAAGAAACACTATGGCAGTCTTTTTTAGCTTACAGTTCTATGAAGACTGCTGGGCCCAGAGAGAAAACTCAATTAGAAATCAATGAAGTTTGCTTGACTATCACCAAATAAAATTTTCAGCCACAATGAGTCTAGTTTCTTTTCTAGACACCTTCTTCAGCCCTTGAATAGCTTTAATTTTCAAAATAAAATCTGAGCTCCCTTTTCCAGCCTCAGAGAAAGTGAAATGAGAAACAGTAAAAATTTAGAAACCTATCCAACTTGAGGATATTCTTTGGAGTTTGGTTTGTTTCATCTGACTTCCTTCCATTGGGCAATTCGGTGGGTAGGAGAGTACATAGAGAATCTTTACACAAGCTAATCGTAAAAAGTGAACAAAGAATATAAAAGCATAAAGGAGAAAAATTGTAACGTATTCATCACATAAAGCCAACCATAATTAAATGTCCTTTACATTGTTTTGTTTTGCTATGTTGTAATTTTATAAGAAGTTGGCTGCTTTTAATCTGCAGGTACTTTTAAGGGTTCAAATTTATTGGAGTGTGAACTATAAGCCAATGTAAATGCTAGTAAACTCTGATAGTCTTAGAAACTGGCCTGTAAGACGGTATTGTATTTTATCTTGGGCAGCATATTGTTTGAAAAGAAGATTGAAATGGAGACCGCTAAGAAAGTTTCTATTTTGCCATCGGTCTAATTTCTTCTTATTGTTTTACATAAGGTTGTTTCAAATGTTTAGGTGCCTGCCTGGGTGGGCCCTAGATGCATTTGAAATCGTAACCCCCGTAAAGTGTTCAGCTAACTGAATGTCTACAGGAACTTGAGAAGGGAAAAGTATCTTGTAAGAATATTTTTTACATCAGGCTTTCCGCCTGACTCAAACTATGCACAAACTGTCAGTGTCAAGGTTCACTTCCTGCCACGCTTTGATCTAGCTTGAAGTCACATGGGAAAAAAAAAAAAAGATTACCAAGCAGATAAAAACCAAGATAAAAAAAGGCACAGGAACCTCAAAAGTCATTAAAAAATGTTCATCTTCCAAGTGAGGCCGGAAAAAGGAGAACTTATTGAAGGGAGTTCCTAGCAATAGAAGTGGCATTGCAATTGCTTCCAAGTTGGAAATCTGAGCTGCAGGATGTCCTGGGGGAGCAGAGGGTGGAGCAGGAGCCTCACAGAATACCCTGCGTGCATCAGGAGCTCAGCATCCTCTAGCACAATGGTTCTCAACCTTCCTAATGCCGCGACCCTTTAATACAGTTCCTCACGTTGTGGTGACCCCAACCATAAAATTATTTTCGTTGCTACTTCATAACTGTAATTTTGCTACTGTTATGAATCATAATGTAAATACCTGATATGCAGGATGTATTTTCATTGTTACCAATTGAACATAATTAAAGCATAGTGATTAATCACAAAAACAATATGTAATTATATATGTGTTTTCCAATGGTCTTTGGCGACCCCTGTGGAAGGGTCGTTCGATCCCCAAAGGGGTCACGACCCACAGGTTGAGATACTTCTGTCACGGCCACAGGTTGAGTGGCCGGGTGCTGTATTTTCCGTGAGACACTTAAACTTGAACAAAATCCTGGTTACGTTTTGATCATTGTTCACTTAAAAAAAAATAAATCAATCTTTATTTGGGAGATACTCTCTAAGTCCGTAGGGAAAGGTCTCGTGTGCTTTACTCATTAAATAGTTTGTGCTTTTCTTGAGTTACCCACCCTGCATGGTTTCCCCAGCACCACAGTAGGAAAAACCCTGGTGTTTATGGTGAAACCCAGCAAGCGTTCTGTGTCAACCAGTGTCACCAAAAGTGCGTGACTTTCCTGCTATCTAAAATCAATTCCACTCTATCATTTTTCTTAAAAGTTTTAAAACTCTGCTCCCCATCTTTCAGTTAGATTTGCAAAACAGATAAGCTTTTACCACTCTGCAAAGTATATTTATCTGGAACTGCTTATGCTAGACATTTTAAAAACTAGCATCGTATGTGTAGTCTACTCTGCTTACTGATATTACCATCTTTAAGACCAGTCCTAACTACTGACCACTCAGAGGGGTTGATTTTTCAGCAGGAACAGAAAACATGTTTCTGATAATGGTTCTGGTCAAATGCGCATTTAAAAGATATATATATACCGAAATCAGTAGCAGAACAGTCTTCCTATTTTTATTCCTAATAAGAGAATACCATCCAAGAAGCAGATAATTAGTCAGGGTTCTGTCCTACTGCAGGGCAAAAGTAGGTTTACAGTTGAGATCTACAGTTGTTCATATGGAAAATAATACAATAATTAATACATAATACAAGAATAAACTTTCGCACATTCACAACTGTAAACCTACTTTTGCCCCACCCTGTATTGGCTCTTCCCATGTACGACTGAGAACACTTATGACCTTATCTGATGTTAACCAGTGGTTTTTCTCTTGACCTGCTACTAATGTCTGAGGCTATGGGGAAAGACCAAATCTGCTTACACGGCGACTTAAAAAGAAATGCAGAGATGTGGTCTGAGTGCTCCTCCAGTCACCAGCTGTCCCCTCTGCCCCCACCAGCCCTCGACTATGGAAGCTGAGAGCAAGCTGAGAGCAAACTGACAGGAAAATATTGATGGAGGGAAACTGCCCTTGTCTATTTCAGATTAGGAGTCAAGCAATGAAATGCTGACTTTAGATGTTTCCCCACCAGTTTCTCCAATTCTACAGAAGTAAAGAATGAAAACTTTTCTAAGCCAAATGGGTAAAACTACTTATTCATCTATTTACATACTGCTCTCCATCTTGCACTTACAGTGGGGCCTTGACTTACGAGTTTAATTCGTTCCGAGACCGAGCTCGTTAAGGAGCTCGTTAACTCAAATTACTCTGTCAACTCAATGCAAAAAATCAGCCGAGAGACAGCTGGTATCTCAAAAAACTCTTTAGTCAGGACACTCGTAAGTCAAGGCCCCACTGTATATAATTTATTCAACCTTTTTTTCAACTGAATTCACTTCAGTTCATTTTTTAAATAAATATGAACTAAGTGTCTATTATGTGTCAAGCAAGAAAAAAAGGAGGGGTGAGGGGAGGGAAAAGGGAAGGAGGGGAGAATGATACACAGTAACAACTGTCTTGACTATCTCTTTCCTTGTACACCAATTCCATAGGAATTCTCAACCTTGAAGCAAAAAATATTGAAGGGCTGTGATAGGATACCTATAAGAAGTCTGCAGAGCCCCAGGCTCAGGAATATGCAAACCAAGAATTCTAATCAGATTGAATTATATTTACTACATATGCACTACAGTTTTAAAAATTCATATAAGCCCTAGCTGGTTTGGCTCAGTAGACAGAGCGTCGTCCTGTGGACTGGAGTGTCCCAGGTTTGAGTCCGGTCAAGGGCATATGCCAGAGTTGCAGGCTTGATCCCCAAGAGGCAGCCGATCAATGATTCTCTCTCATCATTTATATTTCTCTCTCTCTCCCTTCCTCTCTGAAATAAATAAAAACATATTTTTGAAATTTCATATAAAAACTGTTATGATTTTTAAAAATACATAGTATCCAGAGGTAATATTTAATAACTGGTCGACCATGGGCTTCAACTAATAAAATGGACTTTGACCGTCAATAGCCAACATGGATAGACAGTTCCTGCCAGCTGAGTAGCATACCAGTTAATCCAGGTGAAGAGAGACAATTTTTTCCTATTTTCTTTTTTACTATTAAAGAAATTATATATATATATATATATATAGAGAGAGAGAGAGAGAGAGAGAGAGAGAGTTATTATTCAAAGAAAGAGTTGGTTCAGATTTAACAACATATCCTAGGCATTAAATCACAACACAAGAAAAATCACAATAAATTTAAAAGTTAGTCTTTTGTTGGTACTTTGTCTTTTATCGTCATTAACAGAGTCATTCTCCCACTTTCCCATGAATTTCTAAAATTGCCTAACTCTTACCAGATGTTCCAAAGGTTGTAAACCCTATCCTATGGGAAAGTCTGTCTTTATTTATACTCAATTTAAAATGAAAACAGCTAGCCTCAGGCTTGTGGTTTCAATTTACTTAAACCATTTCATAATCTGCCAATAGGAAAATTTCCAACTGCAGCAGGATAGCTAGACTACAATCCATGTTGAACTGTTTTACCCGGGAGTATGCCTGCAACTGGAAGCAATGTGTTAGCATGTAAGAATGGACAATAGTCCCAGCTGTGTTGCTCAGTTGGTTGGAGAATCATCCCATACACCGAAAGGTTGTGGGTTCAATTCCTGGTCAGGGCACCCCAGTCAGGGAGCTTACAAGAGGCAACCAATCTATGGCCCTATCCCACCCCCCTTCCACTCACTCTAAAAAAATAAACATTTCTTTGGGTGCAGATTTAAAAAAGTTCTTTCTATTGAGAGAACTTTAGTGGACAACTTTTTACTTTAATTAGCCAAAGGAGTAACTCGATATTCTCTATCTCTGTCTTACTTTAGTCAAATAAATTATTCACATTAATATACTTAGTATATCATATTACTTCAATGAGTTACTTAGACCAATTTCTCAGAACCAACAAACAATGATAAAATAGCATAATTACTTGAAACTTTTTTTAATAATATCCATATCTTTCCTGGAGATTCAGTACAAAGACAAGTGATTAAAGCAACATTTACATTTAAATATAGATGGATTATACGTATTCAAATATAGATCAGGTTTTTTAATCTACTGAAATCATAATTTTAAATAAACTGTCAAAATTGCACCGCCTAATTTCTCTTGGGAAAAGTGGTGTCAATTCTGGTTATCTTCTTAATTTTAAATTAAAATTCTGAGGGTCTACTGATATTAAATAATTGAAATCATGAATGCATTTTTTAAACAAAACTAACCTTAAAAAAGGCAAACCACTTGTAGTCATTCAACACAATCTCAAAGCCTTGATTGTAAATGATGGTGAAATGGCCAGAATTGCCCAAGTCATCATAGGCTGTGTCCATCTTCTTAAGGTGCACCACGACTTTCTTTTCTGGTGGTCCTAAAGAAAAGAAATGCACAACAATGGAAAATTCTCTGTACTTCCATGGCAGAAAAAACCTCCCATGTGCCTCCCATAATCTTTAAACTGCTCTCCTTTCAAATCAGGCCACCCGATTTGAGCCAATCTGGCTTGTGAAGATACCAAGACTTCCCACCTTGTTGCCTCCCTCTGTATATATCGTTCCAGAGGGGGTCCTGGTCACACACGCCTGTGAAGTGAGGGCTCAAAAGATAGAAATAGGCCAGCAGGCAGAGAGACCCCCTAAAGTACAGCCTTGAACTTGCCAGAGCATCCAAAGACTGAAGAAAATCTTCCACGGAAGAAAAGGAAAAATGGGGGATGTTGAAAATGACAGGTGGAAATGAAGGGAAAACAAAACGGTAGTCAAAAACTGGAAACATAAACATATAAAAAAGACCTGCCACCAAGTCAAAAGAAGGACAAAGTATATGATCTCTTCCACAAAGAAATGGGGCTTCTTTCTCCATGATGGCTCCACAGTTCACAACTTCAGAATCTGCATTCTTCCAAGGCAGGGGTCCTCAAACTTTTTAAACAGGGGGCCAGTTCACTGTCCCTCAGACCGTTGGGAGGGCCGGACTATAGTTTAAAAAAAAAAACTATGAACAAATTCCTATGCACACTGCACATATCTTATTTTGAAGTAAAAAACAAAACGGGAAAAAATACAATATTTGTATTTGCATGTGGCCCGCGGTCGTAGTTTGAGGACCCCTGTTCCAAGAGATGCAGCAAACTCCAGGGTTCTATCCCGTGAAGCTCATGTGTGCTGATAGGAACCAAACTTTTAAACTTCCGAAGACGGGGCTCAGACACGTGAGTGCCTTCAATTATTACAGTAAAGTCGAAGGCATAGTTTATAGACAGAGGCTGCCTGGACAGGGCTCTGCGGAACCCTCTGCAGGTTTCCACACTTTAGACAGCTTTTCCGTGGCTGGTTTTAATGCTCATGGTATGTGCCCAAATGCTGCAAATCCTCACCTCCCTTCTGCTTCAGACCTCCAATGGCAACTTTTTAAAAGAGCAGATGGTTAAAATGCACAGGATTATGCAATGCCACAGTCACCGGAAGTTGGACAGTTGGATCCGTCTGTTTTAGAGACAGATCACCTGGCAATCCTTGTTCTGCTGACAAGGAAAGTGCAGCTGACACAGCTTCACTCATTACAGGCTGCTAAGGGCTTGGGCAGAACTAGAGTGCCAGTGCCACTTCTGTCCAAGACAGTGTTTTCTCTTCTCCCTTCACTAAATTCCTTGTCATCGGTGTGACCACGTTATCTGAGGGCACGTGGACTATCCAGTGTGTTCACACACTACACATTTATGGAGTGCCTTCCCTGAGCCAGGCATTGCACTCGGCTCTAGACATTTCCAAATATAATTAATTGCTAACGAGTTATTAAAATAACAAAAAAACCCTACAAACTTCATATACACCCCTAGGATACATAAGACAGTGCAGACGTTGTCTCAAACTAGTAGCATCAACACACATCTAAGTAAAAACCACTGGATATAAGTAGAAAACTTTTCTTGCTGTATATTCTTGAGTGTCCGAGCTCGGATTTCCCTGGCGCGCACACACTCACACACACAATCCTACAGGTTGGATGGGGGATAATTAAGATTGCAAGGTCTGAACTCTCTTCCGAACCGAACCGAAAAACAAACAAAACAGAAAACAGCAAATTAAGGGGAGTCAAAAGAAAGTCTTTTTAGAAAGTATAGAAGCCCCGGGAATAACCAAGAAAAGGTGAAGTTAGAAGTTCTCAGCAGCTCAACTTGGCCCTGGCAGCCCTGGCGCTGGAGCGGGCATCCCACGGGCCCAGGGCCAGCCAGCGTCCCGGCCTCCGGCAGGTGTGCCCCTCGGTGGGGCGCTGTGCGGAGCGGGGCTCAGGGGCAGCAAAGGAGTCCGGGCGCGCGGCCGCTTACCCATCACCGAGCAGTTGACTTCGTGCTGGGAACCCCCGGGGCCCACCTGGAAGACCCAGGTGCCCAGCAGGTCGGGGTAGGTGCAGTTGGCAGGTGTGTCGCCGTGCACGGTGCCCACGCCGCCGAGCAGCAGCAGCAGGAGGGCGGCGAGCGGGGCGCGGGGCCGGGGACCCATGCTGCCGGGCAGCCGCGTGGCCAGGGAGCTGGAGGGCAGCCGCGAGGAATCAGGCGGCCCGGACCGCCCGCCTTAAAATAACCGGAGGGCGGAAACCTCCGCGGGCGGGGCGGGGTCTCGGTCTCGGTCTCAGGAGGAGGGGGAGGGGCGGCTGGGCACCTGGACCCGGAGCTGGGAGCCGGTCTCGCCGCTCGCCTGCACCCTAAGGTTGGGGTGAGCTGGGGGTGAGCCCGGGGCAAGGTTAATTGCCAAGGGACGACTCAAAATAGGAATTAAGAGCCACAGTGGGTCCGCACGAGACCCAGACTTCCTTCTTGAGAAGCAAGGCACACGAGAGGGAGGGGGAGAGAGAGAGAGAGAAATGTACTCATGCCGGCAGAGAGGAGGGGGGAGGGGAGGAGGGAAGGGAGCTGGAGAGACACAGGGAGAAAGACGGACACAAGAGAAACTGGGGTGGCAGGGACAAAGGTCAGACAGAGACAGACAGAGGGAAGGGAGGTGGGGGAGACAGAGGTGAGAAAAAGTCCCAGAAAAAGAAAGATCTAGTAAGTGGAGTGTTATTTGTTTCCTTCACTTTGTCCTCACCAACTCGAGGCTGTGGGGTTTGTGGGGTTTTTTTTGTTCTTTTTCTCAGAATATTTAACTTGTTACCCCCAGCCGCCTCAGCTGTTTGAGAACTGCTCTTCCTTCCGTTTTCCAAAACTCTCACTACCTTCTTTTGGCTTGGTTTTGTTTGGTTTCCTGTTAATGTTATTTGCTTATGACCCATCAGAGAACTCAGTTGTAGTGCAAGCTTGCAGTTTTTGTGTCCTAGTCGTCTTTGTTTTCCCTGCAAATTTTATAGGATTTAGTGCACACTTGGGTGCGCACACACGCACAAAAGCTCAGAGATTATATTGCTCAACCCCTTCTCTTTTTACTGCTGAAAAGCATGAGGCCCAGGCAGAGGAAGTAACTTGTCCAGGGTGAGGAAGGGAGCTGGTAGGAGAAGGCTGATCTTACGAGCAGCATCCCAATGTTCCAGTCTGAATTCCAGTAATTATTAGGTAGCACCTGTGGGGGTTCAGAAAGATCCACCCCAATATATGCCTCAGTAATATGCAGATTTTTTTTTTTTTAGCTAAGGGCTCCAAAGAAACATCTGCCCCTCCATTAACTACCTAAAAGACTTGAATTGGGGGCCTTGCCCATAAAAAGAGATCAGACATAACCTCTTTTGCCCCATCTAGAGGGCAGAGCAAATTTTTAATCACTAAACATCTACTCTTATCATCTTGCGATGACCCTTGGAAGCTCTGTAGTCACCTTACCTCGTCCCTAGCTCAGATGTCATACATACCCATTTTACCTTTCTGTCTTTGAACCTTTCGTGCATGTGGGGTCTCTGACTCTCTCATGTTATGGGGTAATTAAATTATTTTCTTTTGTTACTCTTATCCAATGTCTATTTGATTATTACTTTAGGGAAAGAACCTTTGAAATAGGAATTTTTAGGGGTGAAATAGGCAGGTTTAGGGAATTTTTAGAATTGGGGGTCCATGGGGAAAAACAACAATACAGGGCTACAAAGTTGCAAAAGAGTATATTTCCATAAGATAAGGTAGTTGGAAGAGGCAGCAGTTACATCTCCATAAGACAAGGGAGTTGGGAGAGGCAACAGTTACATTTTCATAAGACAAGGGAGTTGGGAGAGGCAATAGTTACATTTCCATAAGATAAGGGAACTGGGAGTGGTAAAAGATACACATTTACAAAATAAAGGCAAGGCAGCCCCTCATTCAAAGAGGGAGAAAGAAGAGTCCAGAGGGAATGGGAGAACAATGAGGAAGGAGGACCTTACCTGTCCCAGGTGAGGTTTGACCTTTGAGCTCTGGAGTTGCTATAGTGACCAAATCAAAGGGGAATAGTGGCCAATCAGAGGGGATATCGAGGCACAAAAAAAACCTGCTGCCTTTATAAACGGGAGGGGGGGCGTTAAGGAACTCAGTGGGACTCTTTCCCCCTCCCCACGTGGAAGTCTGTACTTGTTCTGCAATAAATTCCACCTTTACTATACCATCTTCCGTCCGTGGTTTCATTCTTCAACTCCCACGGACAAAGAATCCAGGGAAGCCATCCTGCCCAGGGAAAATTCCCAGATCACCTTGAGGGTAGAGAAACTGTTTCCTCCCCTACTTACTTCCAGGTGCCTCCTTGCTCAGTTCATTTTCTGTCTGTTGTTTCCCTTGCTCAGTTTAAATATCACCCTTTTCTGTTGAGAGCTCCTCTGACTTTATTGGCTGTTGTTGGAAGTTGGGGCTCCGTTCCAGCACAGAGCTTATCAGGTGTCAGGCCCTGAGCCAGCACCAAGGACAAGTGATGAACCAGACAGACTTGTCTGTGTCCCTGACTTCTAGGGCGCATGCATTTTGCCCTCATTACACCCCGTTAAAATAAGTATTTGTAGGTCCACCTTTTCCACAGATG